TTCCGATAATAGTTTGCCAAACCAAGGAAAGAATGTAGTTCAGTAATCTTAGTAGGGACAGGCCAATCTGCAATGACCTCAACTTTTTTCGGGTCCATCTTCACCACGCCTGCAGAAATAATATGCCCAAGGAAAGAAATTTTCTTCTGGGCAAACTCACATTTTTCTGGTTTCAGATACAACTAGGCTTTCCTTANACCGTACATACTTTTGGGGTAGTAATGAAAGTGGCATACTTCAAAAATCTGTCTACAACCACAAATATCGAAGTAAAATNTAGTAATGAAAGTGGCATACTTCAAAAATCTGTCTACAACCACAAATATCAAAGTAAAATTGTTCACTTGAGGCAAGCCATTTAATGAAGTCCATGGAAACACTCTCCCAAGGTCTGCTTGGAATAGGGAGGGGTTCCANAAAATGGTCCAATTATTCTTGAAATTCGTTGGTCATCAAGTTACAGAATGTAGCAGGGGCGTTGGTTAAGCCAAAAGGCATGACTAAAAACTCATATGATCAATACCTTGTCACACAAGCAGTCTTTGCCTCATCTCCCTTTGCAATTTTGACTTGATGATATCCCAGCCACAAATCCATCTTGGTGAAGAAAAATGTCTTTCCTAATCTATCAAACAATTCGTCAACAAGCGGCACTGGATAGTTGTTCTTAACAGTGACTTTGTTGAGGGTTCTGTAGTCTACACAAAGCCGAAAGGATCCGTCCTTCTTTTTATGAAACAGAACAGGGGCTCCATAGGGTGCCTTGGAAGGTTGAATGAACCCAATGTCCNGTCTCCTTCCTTTGGCGTAGAGAACACCATCCTCTATCCAAAATCGCCGAGTCACCCCTTCGTGGACCTGCTTCAAGAGTAAGCTGGTCACTGGATCATCTTTTGTTTGATCCTAAATTCTCTGCAGTATGTCTCCTGCAATCTGGCTAAGTGCAGCAACCGTCCCATCAGCAACTGGGATTCGACTAAGAGCATCAGCAACCTGATTTGCATNATAGGTGCGTCATCCTTGAACTCAACCAACAACTGTTGCACTGGTTCAGGGACTTGCAATGCTTTGGATTCCTCTTTCTCAAATAAGACAACCAAGTATGTTGCTTCCTCCTNGCCAGACTTGTACTACAACGTGAAATGAAACTGGGCAAGAAAGTCCTGCCATCTTGCTTGTTTTGGTGTCAGCTTCTTCATGGAATTGANTTCCTCTTTCTCAAATAAGACAACCAAGTATGTTGCTTCCTCCTTCCGCAAGCCATCTTTTACTTGCAAGGCAGACAACATTTCCCCCGAAGACTTGGCCTTAGTGAGGGGAACAAAGTAGGGATTGGGCATGTCCATCACAAACATCCCCTGTAAATGCAGTATAACAGACACCTTTGCCTTTGTAAGGAATTGCAGTCCAAGGATACCTGGAAATCATTGAGAGGGACTGCCATAAAATCACATGATCCTTGCCAATCACCAAATTTTAAAGGGACTTCTCTTGCGACACCGCCTATTGGTTTTGCCTCTGAATTAACAGCTTTAATCTGGCTAGAGTCTTTCACCAAAGCTAGACTAAGCCGCTGTACTTCTCGGTCAGAAACAAAATTATGGGTTGCACCTGTATCAATCATTGCCTGGACAACCACATTGTTCAGGCGAATCTGCACAAACATCAACCCCCTCTTTGCCACTATCTCCTCTTTGCGAATTGCATTAAGGAGTTGTAATGGATTGACTTGTGTTGGTTCGTTAGAACAATCAGTGTCCTCAGCCATGAGGGCACTGAGCTTTTTCTTCTTGGGGCAATTTCTAGCATGATGAGGGCCATTACAGATAAAACAACCTGAGTTAGCACCTCCCTTTGATGAAGAGGCTTTGTTAGTCGATTTTTCTAAATTGCCAAACTTTCCAGCCTTTTTCTTCTACTTGTCCTTCTTAGGGAACTTGGCTTTCCCTTTTGACTCATTCTCTAGAGGGTTAGCTTGCGTTTTGTAGTCAACCAGCGCGTCTGTTGCGGACATAGCAGCGGGTAAGTCCATCACCCCTTGCCGACGAAGTCTTGCCTGTGCCCAAGTTTGGAGGTCAGACATAAACTTGAACAGCTTGTCTTCCTCTGACATATTTTTGATGTCAAGCATCAGAGATGAAAATTGCTTCACGTACTCCCTCACGGTGCTTGTATGTCGAAGTTTTCTCAATGCATCACGGGTTTGCCAAGCCGTGTTGCTGGGAAGGAATTGCTCCTTCATTTCAGCAGACAGGGACTCCCAAGTAGTAATTAGAGGACGAAATTTGTCCTCAGAACGTGTTCGCCACCATAATTTAGCATCACCAGACAGGTACATGCTAGTGAGATCTACCTTCTCAGCATCCGAAGTATGGACTGCTTTAAAGTAGTGCCCCATATCCCATAGAAAGTTCTCGAGTTTTTTAGCATTACGATTGCTTGTGAAAGGCTTAGGGTTAGACACTTTGGCTTTCTGAGTGCTTTCACTGCCAAAAGCCAAAGAAGCATTCTGCAGTGCCTTCTTGAGCACTGAAACGTCTATCTCGAGGGAACTCAATTTTTCCCCCATATCGTCGGTCCATGTGGAGTTTATAGCCAACACGTCAACGACTTCGTTTTTCACTCGACTGAAGTGATTAGATTCAATCTTTTGAAGTTATTCATGTGCAACTCGCATCTCTTCAAACCGCTAATACAGCGACTCAAGTTGCACAGAAAGAGCCACAACATCACCAGACTGTGGAGGACCAACCAACTCCTCCAAACGTGCCATCCTTTCCCTTAGATCAGCATTCATTTCGCCAGCCATAGTTGATCTGTTGCCAAAACCACGCTCTGATACCAAACTGTCACGGGATAACTTTTATTTTTCTTTCGAGGCTACCTATGAAGGTGTTGCTATTGCAACCAGCCACACTCAACTCAATAATAAGAGACAAAAACTCACACAGAAGGCACACACGAATTTATTGGGACAAAACTCCCAAACCTTATATATTTAACTCAACAATTTACAAGAACTCTCAGAGCCAGAACACTTTCTACTTATCAGAATGCTCAAGCACCCCCTATTTATACAGGAGTAAGACAGATGACACCCCCATCTGCCAAGGGATAATTACACACGTTTTTGCTATTCCATAGCATACTTGACTAGCAGGCTTGGTTTCTGTGCGACACCTGACAAACAGTTCCACCCCTTTCAGTAACTGATGTGGAACTGCCCTTCATCAGCATGCATTTAGACTGGATTCAGACTAGGGACGGTCAGAACTGCCTTGACTGTGTCTCAGCATCTGTAACTGCCCACATCCTCCTAGTCACATGCATTAAGCAGTCATGTGCCCACATTAAACAGCCAGCCTTGCTTCACGACCCAATGTGCATGCTGGGTTCAACTCATGCCATGCAATCCGAAGCTATGCACCCACATTGCTTCAATTGAGCCCACCATCTGTTGCCATGCTCAACCGGGTGTTCTCATGCTGCCTTGGTTCGCCCCAATCTGTCGAACCACTTAGTTGCATTACCTTGATTCCAACTTATGGCATGCCTTGGTGCAAGGTGCCACCAAGACCGGCCATTTGCACCTAAGTCAGTTAAGGTGTGACACATACATACTACACACATTCAATCACGTAGATTTACACTCAATATGATTAAATTAGGGCACCCACAAATATTTGTTCAATTATTTGTTATTCTATTTTTAATATTTTTTATGTTTCAATTATTCTATTATTTAATTTATTATTATCATATTCTTGTTTTGTTTCGTTAACAATTTATTTATTCAAATTTTTTATGCGTGTTTGTAGAATTTGCTATTGATTATGATTTATATTATGAATTACTTGTAGTGGTATATCGTATTTTTTATTAGATAAATATATATTTTATAAATATTTCAAAATAAAGAGTGAAAGGGTAAAATTATAAATTAAATTATTTTCAAACGTTAGTTTTGTGTAGCTATGAAACAGTTTTGTTCAATTCAATAGTTAAATTTCAGTGAATATTAAATAATTTGCGACTTAAAATTTAGTTTTCAGTATTCAACTTTCAGTTTTATCAAAAATCACCTTAATTTTCTTTTCAACTTACTAAAATCTATCCCTCCAAAATTGAGAGTAAAAGTGTAAGAAAAACTAATTATGTGGAAATATATGGTATTTACCTTTATGTCTTTTAATACATGTATATATTATATATACCTATATATATATTAATACTATACATATTATATATATAAATATAATGGTAAGCATATTATATATATAAATATAATAGTAAGTTTAAGTGCGATACAAAAAGGGCTTAGCACATAGGTATTGTTTGATAACGTACTTAAGAATTTCTCTTTTTGGTTCTTTTAAGTACTTTCTTAAGTATTGTCTCTTTTATATTTTTTGTGTATTTTTTCTTATTCGGGCTTGCTCATTTCTTTCAAGCTTGATAGTATGTATAACAATATACAAACACATGTATACGAGTGTATGCATTTATATGCTACAAATGCCTTAAATTATATTGATGAAAGTAATCATTAAACATGCTTTACTTGTTTCAACAATTATTTTTGTGTTTACATAAGTTACATCAACAACTTTTGACAAACAATACATTACTATTTTTTTTTTGATATAGAGTGTTTAGACTTATATCGATTATTTTCTCGAGCTTAATGGTTGGTCATCGTGACTTAACCTGGTCTAGAGTATCTTTTCAAAGAGATAAGAGTGACTAGTCCTTATTAGATGTGAGAAAGAATTAAATCTAAAATTTTTGAGTTACCAAAAAATATGTCCAACCACTTAACCTTATATATTACAATTTTATGTTCTTTTCGGGTCTAGGCAAAAAGGATTGTAATTAGGGGGTCTATGCCACTACAAAAATTCAGGATGTGGAAGTCTAGGGCCTTCCTAAATATCTATTCTAAATGGCCCATTGGGTCAACATTCGTTTGCCTAATAAAAAAGAGCCCAATATATCATGAAATGGACAATCATGCAAATGTGGGAGTCTGGAGGACTGGAACCTTCCTCGATGGACCTGAGGTCCCATCTAGGCTTTTAATTCGATCATTTAAGTCCAAGATCAATAAACCCTTCAAATTAAGGTTGATAATTTCTAACACGTAAACTTGATTCAAAATTGAAATGAAATGGGTTAGGGTTTACTATTTTTCACCAATAACTTGTAAATGACTCAACTTATTAACAGGAATAATAAATAAGTCAGATTAGTGTCAAATATAAATAATACGAATTGACATAATTAACTAATATTGTAGAAATAAATATCAAGGTCATGTTTGGTTTGTGATTCGAAAATAGTTTTTTATTTTCAAAATTTCAAAAACACTCAAAATCTGTTTGTTTAGCATTTTTGTTCTCCAAATTTTAGAAAAAAAATGAGATTTGAGTCAAAAAAATAGAAAACAAATGTAGCTTGTTTTCAGAGTTTTTTTAAAAAATTTTGGAAATAAGGAGAACAATTTTAGATGTTCAGATATGAGTATATAAATATATATACACACACACATATATATACACGTATAAATATNTAGAAAACAAATGTAGCTTGTTTTCAGAGTTTTTTTTAAAAATTTTGGAAATAAGGAGAACAATTTTGGATGTCCAGATATGAGTATATAAATATATATACACACACACATATATATACACGTATAAATATATTTACATATTTATACGTATATATATAAATATATTTATATATATATATACTTATATATATATTAATATATAATATGTATAATATATATAAGTATAATATATATAAAGTATATATATATCTATATTATACTTATACATATTTATACATATATAATATATAAATATTAATATATATATATAACTTGATTAAGAATTACAACAATTTGGGCCCTGTTTGGTTTGAGTTTCAAAAAATAGTATCCGAAAATAATTTTTGAGAAGAGTTTTAAGAAAATGGTTTTGATAATTTTTGAGATAAAAAATTTGTTTGGTTAAATGATTTTAAAAACAATTTTACAATACAGAAAATAGTAAAACTTGTTTAGACAGCTTAACTATATATTTGAACAGTAATTTAAACATTAATAAATCGGGGCCAACATAATTAAATATAATTATTTAAGTTTTTAGTTTTTCCAGTTTTTTTAATTAAATATAATTACTCTTGTATTTTTCTTTGTGGGCCAATATATTTACTAACATTAAAATTATTTCTCTCTCATATCTATCTACTAGTCATTGGTCGTTCCTAAAAATACTATGTAACAAAAAAAAATAGAATATCCAATTGTGGGTACTTTTTTTTAGAATTTATTTGGCTTTAAGTATCACATCTAGACTTATACTTTATTAAGTCATCTATTGCCTACCTAAGAGCTAGTTTTTATTTTTCCAAATATCTCAATATTAGATTTTAGACTTTCAATATTTCTTGGCTCAAATGAAATTAATATTTTATTATCATCTCTCACTCTCCCTTTTTCTCTCTCTATTCTCTGTCTCTCCACTGTTTTTTTTCTCTCTCTTTCTCCCCTCTTTTCTCTCTTACTTTCTCCACCCTTTCTCTTAATGTTATCAGAATCGGACTGGTCAGCGAACCGACTAGGGGATTGGGTCAATAGTTCATTGGTTCAACTGGTGGATCAATTGGTCGGGCCGGTCATATAATAAAAAAATAAAAAAAATATATAATAATTATAAAACATCATAATTTATTTAAAAAATATAAAATACGTCTAAAATGTATACAATTTATCATAAAATATCATTAATTGGGTTTACAGATAGATATCTACCGGACCAACTTGAGAAATAGTAATCAAACCATAACTCTCCCAGTTCTTCTCTCTGCTAACCCAACAACAACCCATTCACAAATTCACTCCAATCCCTCGTACAGAAAAGAACTACACATATAGAAACTTCACAAACAGGCATAAAGATTGTATCTTTTCATTCTATCTTGAGAAAAAAAGTTCATGAAATAAATGCAGAAAGACAGCAACATCCATTGGTACCGAGAGAGAGAGCGGGTTTAAAATCCAAGGAGCTCTTGCTAATCAAGGATTTAATACTGATGCACAAAAATAGATTCGTCAAAACTAGCTACCATGATGCATTTTTATTGTAAACCCACTCCATTTTTTTTTGTTGTCAATAATCAATACTTTTGTGTGTTTTATTGGCAGGTTTGCAACAGGATTTGAAGGTCACTTGAGTGATCGCCTGAGTTGTCGCCTGAGTGCGCCTGAGACGAAGCTGTTCGCTGCCTCCCCGTCGCTGGAGAGAGAAGAAGCTGCTACCTGAGTTTGCCTGTTCGCAGTGGCTGATCGATCGCAATGGCTGATCGATGGTAGTAGTTGATCAATTGCAATGGCTGATCGATCGTAGTCGCAATTCGCCGGAGTTGCGTGGAGTCATCTTGGAGTCGCCTGGAGTTACCTTCTTCTGGACTGTTCTACGATTTAGGGCAATAGCTTGAGTTTCTAATTTTATGTAATTTAATTTTTAACTTGTCATTAAATCGGCCAATTTTTAAAAAATCGCTTGGTTTTTCGGTTTTTTAGCTGGTTTTCTTCCTTAAGCGGTCCAACTACGGAACCAGAACGGTCAAGATCCCGGTTCACGGTGGAACCGGTTCGATAAGTCGGTCCGGTCTGATTCTGATAACACTGGTTTCTCTCTCCGTCTCTCATTCTCTTTTCTTGTTTTCTCACTCCCTTATTCTCTTTCTCTCCCTCTCTCTTCCTAATTTATATGTTTTCAAATACCTAAATCTTTAATTTGAGACTTTCAATATTCCTTGAACTTTATCCACAGTTTAAAATTTAAAAATTTAAATGACATTAATATTCCATTATTATCTCCCACTATCTTCCTCTCTCTCTCTTTCTCCCTATTTTCTATCTCAAACTCGTTCTCTCTCCCCCTAGTTGCCCTCTTTCTCTATCTCTCTCTCTTCCTAATTTATACATTTTTAAATATCTAAATATTAGATTTGAGACTTTCAATATTCCTTGGACTTTATCTATAGTTTAAACTTTTGAAAATTTAAATGAAATTAATATTCCATTATTATCTCTCACTCTCTCTCAAACTTGTTCTTTCTCTCATATTCTCTCTCTCTCTCCACTGTTACTCTCTCTTTCTCTTTCTTTCTAGCAATGTGCCATTGGGTGTACACTTCTCAGTCTCAGTAGTATGGTAATTTTTTTTAAACCATAAAAAACACAATCCAAAATAAGGGTGATATCAAAGAGTGACGTCAAAGAAAGATACAAAGAGTGACATCAAAATGTGGTTGCATATAATGACGTATTGTACACCATAATTCTCAAAAAGAGTGACAACAAGTGTGGCAACATATAGTGACACCATGTACACCACATTTCAAACAAAGAGTGATAGCAAATAGTGCCTTCAATTAGTAACATTAGAACTAATACAATCATAAAAATAAAATAAAATTCATTGAATTCATAAATTTGATATTTAGTGTGAATACTAAGAGTGACACCAAAGAGTTACAATTGTTTTAAAATTAAATTGTAGTTCAAACCCACAAACAATACCTTAAATTACATTCCAAAATTTTTTAATACAAAGTTCGGATATATGCAATAAATTCTAAACCAACTGTATTCATATTTTGTCTTTAATTTTTTCCATTCGTTGACATCATCTTCAATCCAAGATTTACAATGGTTCAGGAACATTCTCATCATTTTTGTTTGAAAAACTTTTCCTTGTACTGCTGCCAACTTTTCTTTTATATCTTCACAAAGTGCAATCTTCCTCATTATGTAGCAAACAAAGAGACCACAACCGAATCTACATTAGATGTTTAATTAATATCATTATTTGCATAATAGTGAATCCACACAAATCACAAAAAAAAAAAAAAATAGTATTGTGTCATAAAAGAATAGTACAATGTTCATTTGTAGTATGTAATGAACAAGCCAAAGTAATTTTTAGTTACTCTACGAAAACCAATAATTCGTTATTTTTTTAGTGGTCAAGTCACCATTTGGGTTATTACTGTATGATGTAACTCTATAGTACAAGTCAAGGGTTGAAGACAGTCATTATGAAGTGTCAGAAGTTTGGACACAAGTTTTATTTTGGTATATTATGTATTGAAAAAGACATAAAATTTGGTTGTCAATCTATGGTGTCTATATATGGTCACAAGTTTGCTGCTGCCTATTGTAGAATGAAGTGGCAAATCCATGGTTGTATAATAGAGTGATACCATAAATTTCAATAATATATTCCATTTGAAAATTAGTAGATACATTTTTACAATAATTTCAAATAATGAATCAATAAGTTTCTCCAAAACTTGAAATTTCAACTACTCAATAGAGAGATACCATACTGTAATATTATTGTACATAAAGTTCATGAGACTTTTGAAAATTTGCATCAGAATATTAAATATATTTGTTTTCCATAAATTATAAAAAAAATAATTTAAAACTCAAATTAGGGCATAATATTTTTTATTTTGAGATTTTTGAAGAAAATTAAAATAGTTGGAATTCTTATTGTAGAAGATGGCCCTATGAAGCCGAAGTAAAGCTTCCAAAAGATTCTGGCGACAAATTCTAAAAAACCTAAATCAATGTCGATATGTTTCGCCTTCCTCCATAAAAATAATTTTTTATTTGGCCATACCTATTTAATTTCAAACTCAAATTAGGGATTAGTATTTTCTGTTTTGGGATTATTCAAGTAATAAAAAAATTAAAATAGTTGGATTTCTTACTGTTGGAGATGACCCAATAAAGCCAAATTAGAGATTCCTAAAGATTCTAATGAAGAAGCCCAAAGATTCCGCCAAACAAAAAACTAAATCAACATCGAAGAGTTTTTCATTCTTCCTCCACACAAACTAAATGTTGGGAAGATATGAAAGATATGGATTGAAATCCATAAATTTTTGAAATTCAAAAAAATTAGGGTTTTCAGCATTAATGGCTTCTTGGTCTCCGACATTAATGGATTCTTGGTAATTGATGCCGAACAAAAGGCACTGGTTTTTTTTTTTCCAAAATCAGAAGGACTCTTTGTCTTTCTCATCTTTAAGGTGTTTTATGTTTTGCTGTCAGATGGACTTTTGCCCAAATAGTTTTAAAAAGAGGACTTTTATCCTATTAAGTCTGTATAGAGGTATCGGCTTCCCTATGCCCCACAACAAAATCGAAAACAATTGCCTAAATTCAAAATGAATGGCCCAAAATATTTATACAAATTCTTCTTTTAAAATGACCTGAAATATACCATTGACCATATCCTCCATTTTACTGGAATTGTCATTAAAATGAACAAAGAACTCCCAAAAAATCACCACACATACAAATACCTTAGGAAAAAATACTAATAGAACCAAATAAAATTTACAATCTTTAAGTAATAAATAAAATCAATAAAATCTTTCTCATCTATAAGAATCATGAATTCATCACCACTACCACCATTCAACTTAATAACAAAATTTCCAAGCCACCCATGCACTAAATACCTCAAACAAAAACAAACAATTACATAATTATAAACTCAATCACCAAATTTCTAATCCACCCATGTAACAAGTACATCAAACAAAACAAACAAATACATGCGAATAATCCAACAATGATTCAATTTTTTACATTCCTGATGGGTCTATTACACACACAACACACGCAAAACAAACATACTATAACGCCCCGATTTTTCAGACCCGTTACTTGATTAAATCAATTGATCGATAATAAACCACAAATAAATCTTCGAGTATAGGGTCAGAGCTCTAATTGCCTCAATAAATTTATAATCACAATGTTGATCTCCAAATACCAATAAAATAATCTCTTTAATATAAAAACGAATTTGTTCAAATTATACATCACCCCAATAAATTTACAAAGTTAAAAATTATATCAAGATTCGTCTGTCTTCGATTCTTCAAATATCAACTCTGGTCCTTCCCTCCGAGATAATCCTAAAAAAATATTAAAGGCGGGGAAGTATACAATATAACAGGAAACAATATGCTCAACGAGAAAAAGAATATGAATGATCAAATACCAAATAATTCAATTGATAGGTAATCATAGATAAAAGAATTAAGAATCCAATTCTATAAGTCACATAACTTAATATCTATCCAACCTAGCCTCATACTCTGGTCCTCTGGGTGACATGACAAGTGACACTTGGACATTTAAAATCCATAATCATATCGAATCGTTGCATCCCTCAAGGCTGTAATCACAATCGCACCCCGTAGGGCCATAATTACATTTCACCAATTATGCCCCCAAGTACACTTCGTACATGTACCAATCAATCCCAAAGTATTTAGCCCAACGTTCACGTAAGGTCAACCGATAACATTGACAGAATTTCATATATCAAAATAATCAATAGGAATACAAAATNCCAAATACCAATAAAATAATCTCTTTAATATAAAAACGAATTTGTTCAAATTATACATCACCCCAATAAATTTACAAAGTTAAAAATTATATCAAGATTCGTCTGTCTTCGATTCTTCAAATATCAACTCTGGTCCTTCCCTCCGAGATAATCCTAAAAAAATATTAAAGGCGGGGAAGTATACAATATAACAGGAAACAATATGCTCAACGAGAAAAAGAATATGAATGATCAAATACCAAATAATTCAATTGATAGGTAATCATAGATAAAAGAATTAAGAATCCAATTCTATAAGTCACATAACTTAATATCTATCCAACCTAGCCTCATACTCTGGTCCTCTGGGTGACATGACAAGTGACACTTGGACATTTAAAATCCATAATCATATCGAACCGTTGCATCCCTCAAGGCTGTAATCACAATCGCACCCCGTAGGGCCATAATTACATTTCACCAATTATGCCCCCAAGTACACTTCGTACATGTACCAATCAATCCCAAAGTATTTAGCCCAACGTTCACGTAAGGTCAACCGATAACATTGACAGAATTTCATATATCAAAATAATCAATAGGAATACAAAATTTCAGATAATGAAAAGACACTCTTTACAAAGAGAGTTAAAAGACAGGAGCATATTGTATACTACCCCGTACCTCAAATCTATCAATGACTTCAATAGATATGAGATTCGAAATACCCCGAATAAAATAATCAAATTTAATAGCAATCTAAAATAAAATCACTACTCAATTTTTTTATCTTAAGATCTTATGAATTTTTTTTCTTCCTCCCCCGCTCTCCTTTCCTTTCTCTCTCTCTTTTCTTCTATGCGTTTTTGCCTGACTTGGCTTTTTATAGCAAATTTATG